GCTGTGTAGTTCAGGCTGGCCTTGAGCTTACTTTGTAGCCCAGGCTGGTCTCGAACTCACAGTGATCCTCCTGCTTCAGCCTCCCGAGTGCTGGGATTACAGGCATGCACCACCATGCCCAGCTATTGGTTGATTTCTTGATAATAGCCATTCTTTCTGGATTGAGATGGAATCTCAGTGTTGTTTTAATTTGCACCAGTCAAATGACCAGTGACATTGATCATTTTTCCATGTATTTATTTGCTGTTTCTGCATCTTCATCTGAGAAGTGTCTATTTATTTCAGCTGCCTATTTTTGCCTTGGGTCTTTAAATTTGGGGGGCCTGATTCTTTTGAGTTCTTTATATATATTCTAGATAGTAGTCCTTCATTTGAGGAATAGCTGGCAAATTCTTTTCCCACACTGGGTTGTTTCTTCACTCTGTTAGTGGTTTCTCTTGCTGTGCAAAAGCTTTTTTAATAAGATGAGATCCCAGTTGTTGATTCTTTGTGATAGTTCCTATGCAGTTGAGGTTCTGTTTATAAAGTCTTGGCCTACACCAATGACTTTTAAGAATTGTACTGATTCTGTCTTCAGCAGGTTTAGCGTTTCTGTTTTAATGTTTAGATATTTGATTCATTTCTATTTTAGTTTAGTGCATGGTGAAAGATATGGGTTTAGTTTTAATCTCCAGCATGTGGAAAACCAGTGTTCGTAGCACCATTTATTAAAGAGGCTATCTTTCTTCCAGTGAAGGTATTTGGCCTCTTTGTCAAAGGTGGCTAAGTATATTTGTAGTTGTGCCTGCATCTTCTAATCTGTTCCACTGATCCTCAGCTGTTTTTTGCCAGTACCCTGCTGTTTTTATCACACTGGCTTGGTAGTACAGTTTCAAGTCAGAGATTGTGATGCCCCCTGCCTTGCTTTTGTTGCCCAAAATTGCCTTTACTATTTTAGGTCTCTTCTGTTCCAAATGAATTTTAGGATTATTTTCTCTAATTCTGTGAGATATGCTATTGGAATTTTGATCGGATTGCATTAAATCTGTATGATAACTTTGGAAGTATGCCCATTTCCACTATATTGATTCTTACTACTCAAGGGCTTATGCATGCAAGGCAAGAGCTCTACATTGAGCCATAAGAGTACTGTAGTTTTGAGTGTAGAGGTCTTTTACTTTCTTTGTTAGATTAATTCCTAGGTATTTCGGTTTTTTTGGATGCTATTGTGAAAGGTGTTGTTTCCCTAATTTCTCAGTGAGTTTGTTATTTGTGAATAGGAATGCTATTGATTTTTGAGTGTTGCCTTTGTATCCAGCTACACTACTGAATTTGATATGAAGTCTAGGAGTCTTTTGGTGGAGTTTTAGGGGTCTTCTATGTAGAGTATCATGTCATCAACAAATAGTGATAATTTGACTTCTGTTTATATCATTATTCCTTTTACTTCTTTCTCTTGTCTGATTGCCTGGCTAATGTTTCCAGATCTACACTGAATTAAGAGTGGTGAATTAAGAGTGGACATCCTTGTCTTATTCCTGATTTTAAAATGAAAGCTTTCAGTTTTTGTCCAGTTAGTATGATGTTGGCTGTTGGTTTGTCATAGATGGCTTTTGTTAGATTGAGATAAAGACTATCTATTCCAGTTTTCTGTAAGATTTTTCTCACATATGGGCATTGGACTTTGTCAAATGCTTTTTTTTTAAAGGCATTGGGAATCAAACTGAGGACCTTGTGCTTGCCAGGCAGGCAATTGTGCCGCTAAGCTATATCCCCAGCCAAATGCTTTTTTTGAATGTATTGAGATGATTGTGTGTTTTTTCCCCCTTGGTTCTGTTAATATGGTGTATTACATTTATTGATTTGCATATATTGAACTATCCCTGCATTCCTGGGATGAATCTTACTTGGTCATGGTGTATAATCTTCTTGATGTTTGCTGCATTCTGTTTGCCAGTATTTTATTTAGGATATTTGCATCTATGTTCGTTAGGGAGATTGGCCTGTAGTTCTCATTTTTGGTTGCATTGTTCTCTGGTTTTGATTATCAGGGTAATTTTTCCTTCCAAGAATGAATTTGGGAGTATTGCTTCCCTTTCAGTTTCATTAAAGAGTCTGAGGAGTGTGTTTGATAATAGGGGAAGAGCTAAGTAAGTCATGGTACAGCTATTCCATAGTAAGTTCTCTTCTTTCTTTCTTTTTTTTTTGAGACAAGGTCTTACTTTGTAGTTTAGGCTGGCTTTGAACTTACTATGTAGCCCAGGCTGGCCTGGAACTTGTGGCATTCCTCTTATTCCAGCCTCCTGATCCCAAGTGCTGGGATTACATGTGTGCACCACCATGCCCAGCTTCAACAGTATATTCTATAATCAGTAGTGATCTTTATAATGAACTATATCACAGATGAAAAAATACTTACAGTACAGTGTTATGTACTCACAAAAGATGGACAATTTATTCTACTTTCTGAACACAAATATAAATACATGTGTGAGAAATGACTATAAGCAAATATACAAAAATATTGTGCCACTCTCCCAACATGATAGCCACCAGGTCCATGTAATTATTGAGCACTTAACATTATTAATTCAAACTGAGGTATGCTGTGAGTATGAACTACCCACTGGATTTCTTAGGCTTACTGTGAGAAAAAAATGTAAATAATATTACTAATAATTTTAAAAAACATCACACCATAAAATGATAATATCTTGGATGTGGTGATTAAATAAATGATACTTTAAAAGTTACTTTCACCTGTTCATTTTATTTTTTAAAGTGTCAGTATTAGAAAATTTAAAATTGCTGTGCACCTATAATCCCAGCACTTGAGAGGCTGAGGCAGGAGGATAGCTGTGAATTTGAGGCCAGCCTGGGTTATGTAGTAAGTCCAAGGCCAGCATGAACTACACAGTGAGACCCTGCCTCAAAAAACAAACCAAAAAAGTAAAATTGCACAGATGGCTTATATTATGTTTATATTAGAGTTATTCTAGGTTTTCTGTAGTCATTCAATTATATCTATAATTGGGAAGGTCCTTAAAATAAGAGTTGTGCTGGGTGTGCTGGTGCACGCTTGTAATCCCAGACCTTGGGAGGTGGAATCAGGAGGATCGCTGTGAGTTGGAGGCCAGCCTGTGCTCCATAG